GTGAAACTATAACAAAGAAGCCTTAATATTTTCTAGTTTTTAGTAGTCTTTAGTACTGTAACTTGTATTCCTGCATGCATAGTGATCTAATGATGTAACTGTGAAGAATTAGTGCAAAGCCTTCTGAACCCCTGCAGGAGCGCGTTCCCTGGCATGGACACTGGTGCAAATCTAGCTAGACATGTTCATCATTAAGCATTTAAATGACTCCACTATTTTTCTGATGAATGGTGGAATCTGGGGCTTTGAAGCATTGCCAAGCAGCAGCAGTGGGCTGAGCAATGTCCTGCTTGCTTTCACATTCCACAGCCTGATGGGACAGATCTGCAGTCGCCCTAAGCAGGTCCTGCTGGTATAGCACTGCTGTGCTGTCCTGTGGCTGCAGAGGCTGCTGGGACCATTCACCTGCAGGCTGTAAAACTTCACCCAGCATCTCTTGACCTCCAGCCACCAGCCAGAGAGATGCTTTCTTTTCTATTTTGAGATCGCATCTCCATGCATATGCATTTAAAAAAGCAATTGCCAGATGACAGACAGAAATAGCAAATCTGAGAGACGTTTTCAATCTACATCATCAGCGCATGCAGCGCATCAGCACAGCTGGACCCCCGAACATCAGTGGGCTCTGCGGAGGCAAAGCAGCACACAGCACCTGCAGGCACTTACCAAGGGCTTTCATAAAAGGCTCAAAATTTTCCTGGGACTGGAGTTCGTACTTTCCGGTGAAGCTCATGATGGAAAGGCTCTCTGTACTCCCAGCACAAGAGAAGGTGCCTTGCTGTTAAGTAGAGCTTGGTTTTATAAGGTCCTTTTGCTCTAACAGTTGGTCAGAGGTAAGATGATGTAATTCTTTTATGGCCATGTTCAAACATTAACGTAGAACTGGGCAATGGTCAGTGATAAATTGCTCTACATCTTACAGACCTCAGTTAACAACATGGGGGCATTACCCCCATTTTATGGAGGTAACAACATGGCATCCAGAAGCAAACGATAAAAATATAATTGTGCAAAGAGATTAATTATCAGAGGAACGAGCCAAATCATCTAATCAGCTTGCAGTCTGGAAGTACACATCTGGAAGAGGAGTAAGGAGTGAAAGATTATTGTGTCCCCTGGAGCTGACACTGGTGGGGTTTCTACTCGCTGATATGTGCACGCTGGGTCTTCAGCACTGGCATGGAGTAGTGGCTGCATGCTGGCAAGAATTAACTCTCTCGCTCCTTGAGATGCCTCACAGTCCTCTGTAACGGTGGGTTTTGGTGTAACCCTGATGTACCAGCAGTCACAAAATCGGCATTGTCCCCCAAGGAAAAAAACATAACTCAAAATTAAATCCTGGGCTTGAACTGGCCCATCCTGAAGACTGCAGTTTAATTCCGACTCCACCACTATGGCCTTGCCTCCAGAAATTGGTATGGGTGGATAGATGGACCGGTGCCATTAGTCATCGACCAGGCGCCACTGCTAAAACAGCTGTTTCCCCTCATGTCCCCTGGGCAGCCACAGTCACTCGTGTACTGATGGAGTGTCCCAGCCCTCAGAGCTGCATTCCTCCCAAACGCCGCATCAGAGGTAGGGCCAGCAACAGCCTCCAAGCTGAGCCCGATTCCTCCCTCCAAAGCAGGACTCAGAGCTGGGCAGCTCTCCGAGTGTGTTCCCCTTGGCTAAGTGTCCCAGGTTGCTGCACAGCATCTGAGCATCCATCCTCTGGGTCCAGACTCCCAGGCTCACCTTCTTGTTCCCATCTCATCCTTTGCCCCAGTGAACTCCTCCTCCCCCCCGAAGTCACCATCTCAGGGATTTTCCCCTTTTTGACTCACATGCCTTCTTCTCCTTGCAATTCTTCCATTCTGTCTTCTCATCTTTGGCCCTTTTTTAAGTGAAATCATGGAGAAGTGTGAAAAGAAACCTGTTTCCTTCCAGTCTGGAGATGCTGCCAAAGCCCTCTGCAGCTGCCCATCCCACTCCTGCAGTCTCATCCTAGGGCTGCTGCCCTCCTCCGCTCTCTGCACTGCAGCGGTGAACAGTGATGCTGCCCGGGCTGGATTCAGCCTCAGTTTCTGGTTAATTAGTACAGGCAGTGTCTGCCTGACCAGCTAGGAGAGGGAAAACCTCTGCTGGTGGGTGAAGTTGGCTGGGGGGGGCCGTCCATGGGGAAGATCACCCCTCTGTGCGGCTGTGGGCGCCGGCCAGGTTCGAGAGCGCTCATGGAGGAGTTGATTCAGCAGTTTCTCCAAACAGCTTTTCAGCTTTTTTCCCCTTTTATTCCCAGCTTCCCAACAGGAATGAGGTCACCTTAGGAACTGCATTTCATTTCTTCGTCTGCCCCAGGTAAATACCCTAGGGTCATGTGGGGTTGCGCTGCCACGTGTCCCTTTTCAGTGTCTTCTTCATGGGGACAGTGGTGACTGACCTCTCCAGCTGGGTGCTGGCAGCAGTTGGAGCTGGCAGCTCCCTGCGTCTCAGCAAGTAATGTCCTCCAGCCATGGGCCACCTGGGAGCCTGTGTGCGCCTCCCATGCCGTCATGCCCTGGAGCTCTGGCTTCTCCTCCAGTCAGTCTGGGTCCCTCTCTTTGCATGATGAGGAGAGAGATTCAGACTTGAAAAAACATCGGAATATTTTTCACAGAATCACAGAATCACAGAATGTTCGGGGTTGGAAGGGACCTCTGTGGGTCATCTAGTCCAACCCTCCTGC